TACTGACGATGACACAAAGAGTCTAGAGAGGGTCATAGATAGATTAGGTAAGAGGGCAAAAACCTGGCAGATGGAGTATAATGTGGGAAAGTATGAAGTTATGCACTTTGGTAAGAAGAAAAGAAGAGTTGAATATTATTTAAATGGAGAGAATTTGCAGAAAGTTGCAGCACAGAGGGAGTTGGGTGTCCTTGTGCACAAATTACAAAAACCTGGCATCCAAGTTCAACAGGTAATAGGGAAGGTGGAAGGACTGTTGGCCTTTATTTCAAAGGGAATTGAGTATAGAAATAGGGAAGCCTTGTTAAGACAATACGAGGTGCTAGTAAGACCACACCTATAATATTGTGAACAGTTTTAGTCCCCTTATCTAAGGAAATATATATTAGCATTGGAGACAGACCAGGTAAAGTTCATTTGGTTCCCTCCAGGTGTGGAGGGATTTTCTCATGAGGAGAGATTGAGTCAGTTGGGCTTGTACTCATCACAGTTTATAAGAATGAGAGGCGACCTTATATATATATATATATAAATATATATATAATGTGTGTGTGTATATATATATATATATATGTATATATACATACACACATAAGATTCTTAGGGGGTTTAACACAACAGATGCTGTGATGTTATTTCCCGTTGTGGGAAAGTCTCAGCCCAAAGGGCATAACCTCAGAGTAAGGGGTCATCCTATTCCGAAAGTGATGAGGAGGAACTTCTTCTGTTGGAGAGTAGTGAATCTGTAGTTCTTTATCACAGAGGCTGCTGAGGCTGGGTCATTAAGTGTACTCAATATTGAGATAGATAGGTGTTTCATCAGTAAGAGAAGCAAAGGTTAAGGGGATAGAGCTGGAAAGTGGAGTTGAGGATCATCAGATCAGCCATGATCTCATTGAATGATGGAGCACACTTGATGGGCCAACTTTCCTACTTCTGCTCCTACATCTTATGGTCTATGACAAATGGGAGGGCAAACTCCAAAGGAGATTCATCCTGTAATTTTTGTTTCTTTATTGGAGAGAAAAAGTAAATCATATTAACATTCTGTCAAACATGTACACAACTGCACTTTCACAAGATTGTGATCATGAGACAAAACTTGATCAGATTGCTTCAAGGGACCCTAGGGTGGATGTAGTGATTGTAACGAGGTCAGCCAAGTGGGCATCAAAGAATATGAGTTCCCTGATTGGGGCTGGTAATCTGGTCCAATCAGGGAGCCCTGGCTGACAGATAAGAGCAGGAATGTCAGACATCAAGACCCCAAGCCTCCTCTAATTCCAAAACACCATTGGTTTTACTTGGCAATTCAAGAACCAGAGAATCCATATAGGGATTTTTGACTGTTAAGATGACTGGGTAACAGGGGGAAAACGCTCTGGTGGTTGGAGTCTTACCTGACACATAGGAAAATGGTCATGGTTGTTGGAGGTCAATCATCTCAGCTCCAGGGCATCTCTGCAGGAGTTCCTCAGGGTAGTGTCTTCAGCCCAACCATCTTCAGCTGCTTCATCAATGACTTTCCCTCCATCATAAGGTCAGAAGTGGGGATGTTCGCCGATGATCGCACATTTGTGACTCCTCAGATACTGAAGCAGTCCATGTTCGAATGCAACAAGATCTGGACAATATCCAGGCTTGGGCCAACATGTGGCAAGTGACATTCGTGCCACACAAATGCCAGGCTATGACCATCACCAATAAGAGACAATCTAACCAGCACCATTTGACATTCAATGGTGTTACCATCACTGAATCCCCTACTATCAACATTCTGGGGGTTACCATTGACCAGAAACTCAACTGAACTGACCACATAAACATAGTCGCTACAAGATCAAGCCAGAAGCTAGGAATACTGCGGCAACTAACTCACCTCCTGACTCCCCAAAGCCTGTCCACCATCTACAAGGCACAAGTCAGGAGTGTGATGGAATACTCCCCACTTGCCTGGATGAGTGCAGCCCCAACAACGCTCAAGCAGCGTGACACCATCCCAGGACAAAGCAGCCCGCTTGATTGGCACTGCATCCACAAGTATCCACTCTCCCCACCACCAACACTCAGTAGCATGACTGTGTACTATCTACAAGATGCATTGCAGAAATTCACCAAAGATCCTCAGGCAGCACCTTCCAAACCCACAGGACAAGGGCAGCAGACATATGGGAACACCAGCACCTCCAAGTTCCCCTCCAAGACACTCATCATCCTGACTTGTAAATATATCACCGTTCCTTCACTGTCGCTGGGTCAAAATCCTGGAATTCCCTCCCTAATAGCATTATGGGTCAACCTACAGCAGGAGGACTACAGCGGTTCAAGAAGGCAGCTCACCACCACCTTCTCAAGGACAACTAGGGATGGGCAAGAAATGCTGGCCAGCCAACGACGCCCACATCCCACAAATGAATAGATAGAAAACTGAAAAGAGGCATGTGACTATGGCTTAACCCTTAATATGATGCTGAAAGACCATTTGGTATACGGGATTAATGATGTAAGTATACAAAAGTGCCTATTAGCTGAAGCCCAAATGGACTTCAAACAGGCACTACAACTGGCTTTATCATTGGAAACTGAGGCAAATGGATTATGTGAGTTGCAGAGTATTCCAATGGAAGTGGACACCCTTGCCAGTCTGACTGAGCTTGGGGAACACCACTTGAGTGAAAGCAATTGCATGGCCACATTCAGGACATATCCTGAAAAGAAGGACTCTAGATCAGTCCACAGCAAAACCCCAAAACAAAGCCAAGCCTCAGCCAAATGGTTAAAATTTTCTTCAGGATATGAGCTGGCAAGCCATTGTAGTTGCTGCCGGTATGTGGACTCGAGACAGCAAAAGAGCCCCACCAGATCTAAATTGAGTAACAGAACTCATATGCCGGTATCCAGGAGAGTGCACACTCTGGAAAGTCCACCTATATCTGGATTAGATCAGTTAAATTGCTTAGTAACATACAAATCAGAACCAATCCAAATAAAAGTCTGGTTAAATGATCACCCAGTTCTAATGCTGCTTGATATCAGCATTTCAGTGATTCGCTCTGGACTCCAATCCTTAAGTTTGTGCAAAGCCTCAGCTAGATTGAGAACTTGTACCGGAGAACCTTTACAGATTAAGGGTACAACATTGGTTCCAGTCGCTTATGTGAAACAGCTGGTTCAGTTACCACTGACTATAGTAAAAGGCTCAGGCCTAAGCTTGATGGGACAAAATTGGTAGAGGAAGATTCACCTTGATTGGCTCAACATTTTTCGATTAGAAAATGGCTGCCTGAGTGAAGTCCTAATCAAATACCAGGATGATTTTCAGGAAGGTCTAAGAACTATCAAAGAAGCCAAAGTCACCTTGTATGTGGATCTGGAAGCAATTCCACAATTCTGAAAGTCCCTGTCAGTGCCATTTGCCTTACGTGCAAAAGTAGAGGCAGAACTCAGGAGGCTGGACAGCAAAGGAATCATCAAACCAGTCCAGTTTGTGGAATGGGCAGCACCAGTTGTACGATTGTGAAGCCTGATGGTTCACCTTTGTGGGGACCTTAAACAAGTGGTAAACCACTTTTCGCAGCTGGATAAATATCCAATCCCTTGCACGGAGACTTTATACACACAGCTGGCAGGGGGTATTGGCCTTCATGAAGCTGGACATGCGTAGTTGCAATAGTGGTTAAATGAGGATTTCCACAAGTATGCTATAATTAATACCCATAAGGGTTTGTACCAGTATGTGCGACTGCCATTTGGGGTATCATGAACCTGTGCAATTTTTCAGCTGATGATAGAGAACATTTTACAACGTCTACCCCGGGTCGTAGTTTATCTCGATGGCATGCTAGTAACAAGGAAGACTAATAAGGAGCACTTAGAGAACTTGGACATAGTACTTAGATGTTTCTCCCAGCTGGGCTTATGCATTAGAAGGGAAAAATGTGTGTTCCAGGCACCCCAACTTGCCTACAGAGTTGACAAGACCAGGTTACACCCGTTGGAAGATAAAGAGGGGCAATAAAGGTGCCCCGGCTCTCATGTCTGTACCAGAGCTTCGGTCTTTCCTTGGGCTGGTGAATTATTATGGAAAGTTCATCCATAACCTGGCCTCCATCCTGGCACCTTTGCATCAACTCTTAAAAAAGGATCAGCCTTGGAAATGGTCACATAGCCAACCCATAGCTTTCAGGGAAGTGAAGAGACATCTATCATCGTCTAAGATGTTGGCACACTATGATCCTAAGTGTGATCTCGTGCCAACATGCAATGTCTCCCCATATGGCACCGGGGAACTATTAGCTCATAGGTGGCCCAATGAAGAGGACTGCCCAATAGTGTATACATCAAGGACTTTGGCTAATGCAGAGTGTCAATACACTAGATAGAGAAGGAAGGTTTGGCTGACATACTTAGAGTCAGTATGTTGTGTCAATAACTTTACGGATGTAAATTTAAAATAATAACAGATCACAAACCCCTGCTGGGTCTACTTAAAGTGGACAAGGCAGTGCCGCCCATAGTTTCAGGTTGAATTCAGTGGTGGGCTCTAATACTAAGTGCACATAATAATAAGTTGGAAGATAGTCCAGGAGGCCATGTAGTAAATGGCCCTATTAAGTGAAATGGTTTGTTTCTGGATTTTAAATACTTTGTAATATTCATACCCTGCAATGTGTAGCATTGTAATGTACAGTAATGTAATGTCCCTGTAATGTATAGTATCTATTAACTTTGTGATATGTAATCTTTCTTCAGTTCTGAGGAAGGGTCACCAGGCCTGAAACGTTAACTCTGTTTTTCCCTTCACAGATGTTGCCAAACCTGCTCAGCTTTTCCAGCAACTTTGTTTTTGTTTCTGATTTACAGCATCCACAGTACTTTCGGTTTTTATTTGATATGTAATCTTTGTTAGCCTCGATTAGTCCTTGACATGTCTAACTTTGATTAGTCCCTCTAAAAATTTAAGCCTGTGTAAATCACTGAAATATGCTTTACATTTACAGTTCCAGTTTGTATTCCAAAGGAGATGGAGTTGGTAGACATTGAATCTGACTGGGATGAAGAGGTTCGATACCTTGATGCTGAAACTCAAACAAGCGAATGTGAGGCATTGGCACAGATCACAAAACAAACCACAGCCACAGATGTAACACTGATAAAGCAGAGGTATATTCATATAATCATTAATTGTATAAATACCACTATGTCTATTTCCATTTAAGTGATTGTTGAACACTGTCAGCCCAGCAAAAAAAAAAATTATTGAACATTGTAATTGGATGTAAGTGAGCACAATGTTACAAAAGACAACTACATCAAGACAGATGCCATAAGAGGCAATTACATCAAGGGCACTACAAAGATAGCATTCAACAATCACAGGCCAAACTAAGGGAGTCTTAAGAGCTGATGAAAGATCCAGACTGTCATTCTCAAACTCCAAAAATTCTTCATAATTTAACTCATGAGTGATGAATCCCATGCAAAACGAAAATGCTTGGAAATATGTTAGGACCATTGTTCCAGATCTGAAGGAACATGCCACTTTCCCAATTACCTGGGTGTTAGAGGTTGATTTTGACCTCCTGTTCCTTGGCCAGAAAGGCAACATCTGCCTATTTGTGCCTATACTAAGTGAGTGCCACATAATGACTCTCTCAAAAACTTTGAAATGGGACTTCCATTCTGGTACTCACACAACTAGGGATATGCCAGCTCTTTACAAGCTATTTTGAGATTTGATCTATGAGTGCCAGGCCCTGCTGATGACACCAGAGTATAATGGTAAGTACCTGAATATAGTTACAATTATGGCAGCTACCAATGGAGTGAGATGGCTTCTTGTTCATCTCTTACACTGCTGCTCCCTCCCTCAAACAAAAGTGATGAGACACCAGAGGAAGAAGAAGAAAGGTAAATAATTTATAGTAAATAATTCAATGTGTGCCAGTTTGTCTGAGCTCTGTGAATACTACGCAGTCAGTACTCTTTGTGCATAATGCACTGCACACTGTGTTTGTGTAGTAGTCAGTCCATGTCCTGTGTGTACTAGTCAATCAGTGCTCTATGTGTACCAGTCAATCCAAAAGCTGACTCCCGGTTAGTCTGTGCTTTGTGTATACCACTCAGTCTGTGCTCTAAGTGTACACTTAGTCTGTGTTCTGTGTGTACTAATCTGTGATTTGTGCTCATGGATTAGTCTGTGCTCAGTGAGTACCATTCAGTCTGCGTTCTGTGTACATCAGTCTGTCTTTGTTCTTTCTGTGTAACAATCAGTCTGTGCTCTCCATGTATGCCAATCAGTGGTTTATTCTGAGCATGCAAATCAAAATGACTGTATATTTATGTATACAACTGACACAGGATCTGTATCATGCATGCTGTCAAACAAAAAACAAAAAAAAACTCAGTGCAGGAAGCAGACACTGACTGCATATCCTGTCAATTTGTCAAGCAACAGTATGGACTTAAATTAGAGACTCTGTGTAAGCAGTCTATAGAGTCTATTCAGATAAGGCAGCCTGAATCTCAACATTATGGAACTCAACACTATTATGTGCAGGCAGTCATATGCTTTATAGGTGCCACATAGTGTATATCACTGCTCATATGTGTGTCAATGTGCTTCCACCTTCTGTGTGGCTAAACAATGATCTTGACCCCTTAACCCTGCCTTCTATCCCCACTCTGATCAACTCAATGGATTTAAAATTTGGATTGCATGCACCAAGGATCCAATCACTCAAGGGCCTTAGATGCCTGTGAAATGAGAATGTGAAGCTTTATGTGCTGATTCAGCTGCATCCTGGAAAACCTTGAAAAGTGTTTATTCTCCAAGCAATTTTTTCTATGTGTAGTGAGGAAGATTCTCCAACCGTAATGGTATTTCAGACTAATGTGACATTTAATTCACGCAGGCAGCTGTGGAGTATCACCGAGGAGGAGGAGGTGGACATGGAGTAAGTGCATTTGATGTGGTTGCACATAAAGATGTGGAGTTTGGGAATTTGCCTCATATGTATGTGAAACATGATAATAGATGTAATCTTTTCAGATGTATACACATTGTAACGCTGAAAGTTTGTGGTGCGTGGGAAGTGATTCCATCAGTTTCCTGCCACAGTTCACAGCAGTACCCCTGAAAAAAAAACCAGAAACCTTGCACCAGATGCCTACAATACAGTTCTGTGGTGACTTTGAGCGTTTCCCTTAATATCCTGCTGGAGTTCCATTTGGATACTATGGGAATTGAGTTTCAGGGCCAGTATGTGATTGTGGTGCATGTGCTTAAAAAAACTGGTCACAGTTTTTGACTTGCTGCTAATCTGTTGTGTACAGTATTATTTTTCAGCACAATTTTTATTTTATAGAATCCCTACAGTGTGGAAACAGGCCCTTTGGCCAAACAAGTCCACACCGACCCTTGGAGCATCCCACCCAGATCCATCCCCCTATAAACTACCTAATCTACACATCTCTGAGCACTACAGGCAATTTAGTATGGCCAATCCACCTAGCCTGCACATCTTTGGACTGTGGGAGGAAACCACAGCACCCGGAGGAAACCCACGCAGACACGGGGAGAATGTGCAAACTCCACACAGACAGTCGCCCGAGGGTGGAATCGAATCCGGGTCCCTGGTGCTGTGAGACAGCAGTGCTGAGTTCTCAATCAAATCATCCACAGGGTGTTGTATAGAAGTTATAAAGATTACAGCTTATCTCACAGATAGCGTTCTCATGTCTGTAGTTGAAAGTTCAAACCCCACTTCAGAATTTCACATGACCAAAGCTGGTATTGAAATGTTGCATTGTTGGAGCTAATGGAGCTAAATTTAACTGAATCTTCTTGGCAAGAATCTTATAGTCATATTAGGTACCTGAATTGAAGGCCCTCTCACTCTCATGCTGTCTTTCAGATAATACAGTAAATTAGGGCCCATCTGTTCTTGGAGTTGTAAGCGATCCCAATGGAGCTGTTTAAGAATGAACTGCAAAGCTCTCTTGATGTTCTGGCTTATATTTACCCATCAGTCAGCATCACTGAAAACGGAATATCTGATTTTTCCTTTTGCGGGATTTCACTGTACGTAAATTGACACTCATGTATTTAAAAAGCATCCTATATTTCCTAAGACAACTTAGAGAATAACTTATGATCTACATATAATTGTGAATTATCTTGTTTCTTTTCTGTCACAAAATATGAGCTCCACCTATCGTGATTTGGATCAATATTATCATTTTGCACCATGAACTTGATCTCTTCCCTAACTTGGACTGACATCTCTGACTTGAGTTTATAAGGATGATGCTTCATGGAGTTTGGGGGGAACATCCTCTATGTGAACAGTATGTACCACCAAAAATATCTATACAAATCAATTAACGAACTTATAAGCCACCTCAGTAGTTTATGGGAGATAGCATAATATTCCATTTTTTAAGTAGCTCCATATTATCCAGTCTGATTACTGGGGGATTGACTTCAGAATTTTCAATTTATAATTCATTTTTGAATTGGTGTGTTATTTTTACTTCACTCCCCTATTTCTTTATTTATTAAGCAGAAGCTTAATATACCTCCGTCCTGACTGTCCTCATGAACATAATTCCTCTTTGTCTGAGTACTCACTACATAATTAATGTTATTGAGTTTCCTTTAGATTCGATAAGATCTAGTGAGCCTCACCTTTTATGGTTCCCCAAAGATAGGTAACAATACTATGCCCCTGTCTGCAACAACAAAAGTTTAAGCCTTGGCTTTTTTAATCTGCTCCAGTTTATGTTATTTGTTGAGCAATCTTCAAATGCTTTTGGTCAATTTACACACTTTAGTTAAATTTCTTAGGTCAGAAGTGTGATCTCTCAGCTTTAGTTTAAAATTTTTTCTTTAATTAATTAAAGGTCAATGTCCATGTATCAATTCAGAAGGGCTGAATATTATGGAGTCATTCAATCATTTCTGTTTCAGAAAAATCTATTGATTGGAAAGCTTTTGGTGTCAGTTCACAGAAGACTTGGCTGGAGTCAAATGGAAGAACAGTTACTCCAGGAGAAAGGAATTAATTCAGAACAGTTACAAATAGGTTACCTCAGTATAAGCATTTTAGTTTGATAATTCCAGACATGATGTGGTTCGTTCAAAACCTGAAGGGTTTATTTGAAAATAAGAATGTTTAAACTCAGTTTTGTGAATAATTAAGGAAAAGGTTCAGATTATAAGAGAAGAAAACTAATCATCAAGCTTGCAAGACTGGAACTTGCAAGAAACAGTTGTTATACCTATAGATGTGACAAAGAAGGCAACTCCCTTTGATATTTGAGTATAATCTGATTATAACCTATAAACTGATCATGTTGGGATAGTTGGGATTTTGTTTTACTGTCTGTTTCGAAATCTTTCAAATTGTGCTCTAGGTATAAAGCTGGGTTTGGCTTAATTTGTGCCAAGTGTAATGGAAGATGGTGGTTGTTGGAGGTCAATCATCTCAGTCCAGGACATAATTGCAGGAGTCCCTCAATGTAGTGTCCTAGCTCCAACCACATTCAGCTCCTTCATCGATGACCTTCTTCCATCTTGAGGTCAGAAGTAAAGTTGTTTGCTGACGGCCACAGTGTTCAGAACCATTCACAAATCTTCAGACACTGAAGCAGCTCATGATTTTATGCAGCAAGACCTGGATAACATCAAGACTTGGTCTGATAACTGGCAAGAAAAATGCATGCCACAAAAATGCCAGGCAATGGCCATCTCCAACAAGAGAGAATCTAACCATCACCTCCTGACGTTCAATGGCATCACCATTGCTGATTCTCCCACTAACAAAATCCTGGGGTTTCTATTGACTAGAAACTGCATTGGATCAGCCATATACATACTGTGGTTGCAAGAACAGGTCAGAGGCTAGGAATTCTGCAGTGAAATGGTCAATTCCTGCACTCCCCACCCCCATTTCTTGTCCATCATCCTCAATGCTCATGTCAAGGGTATGGCAGAAAAGTCTCCACTTACTTATCCACCGCCATCAACATTCACTACCTTCACCATCAAAGCATAGTGGCAGCAGTGCGTACCATCTGTTAGATACATTGCAGTAACTCACCAAGGCTCCTGCAATAGCATCTTTCAAACATACTACCTCTAACACCTAGAAGAAGAAGCATAGTAGATGCATGGGAACACCACCAGCTGCAAGTTTCCTTCCAAGCCACACATCATCCTTTATCATTGTTTCTTTAGCATCACAGGTCCCAAGTCCTGGAACTCCCTTCCAAACAGTATTGTGAGTGTCTCAACCATCGCAAGAACTGCAGTGGTTCAAAAAGGCAGCTCACCACTACCTTTTTGAGGGCAATTAGGGAAGAATGATAAACGCTGGTCCAGCCAGTAACATGAGTTTGAAGTCACTAAGTCCATGGCATTTCTTTTTCTCTTCCAAATTGTACAAATGTATTATTAGTTTTCTTCTCTTACAACCTGAAATTTTAACGGACAAGCTCACAACCTCTGAGTATTACCCTTTTCATAGCATTCTAATCTGAAGATTGCTCACCTGAGGGTTGGTAGACACAAACACATAGCTGCACCTATCAGGACACTATCATGTTGAGGACCTCAAATCCTTTGGCCACTTCAACTTCACAGCTATCTTTTCAGATGAGGTGAAATATCTTTCAACTCCACCCTCTGTAATTTTAGGCACTAAATGCAGATTTCTAGCTAAATAATGGCCCCCAGTGGAGGCAGATTGTTTCTCTGAACTACTATTTCTTCTTTCTTTCTTATTCTTTTTCTGTCACTTCTCTATCCATCTCTCTTTCTTTATCTTTCTTTTCTCTTTTCATTTCTTACTTTTTACTCCAATTCAAAGTTTTTTTTTCATTTCTTACTAAATTTATCGAAGTATTTTGGTGACACATCAATTTCAGGGTTTCCTCTATATATAGGTCATCACTTTAAATGTCTCATCCTTATGAGACTCTGCTTTGATTCCTTCTCCAACTTATTCACTATCTTTCCAGTTTAAACATAGTAAAAGATTTCAAATAATCCAGTTACATATTCTACTTCTAAAAAAGTCTTAGCAACAATAAAATCTGTTTTAAAATTTCTAACTTTCAATATTCTTCATAACAACTCTCCTGTTTCAATGCTTAACATTTCCAATTGCTCATGTTTTAAAGTTTCACAGATCCCTCTTAAATTATGGATTTTCTTTTTATCCCACAAAGAGCTGCTACTTTGTTATAATCACAGTAGAAGTTAATACTGGACAAGTCAGATCCCAGAGAGAAACCTGGCTTGATAGACCACAAGTTTTATTTTTCTGTTTGTATATTATGAATGTTAGTCACTGAAAACATTTACAAGAGATGCCAATGTACTTTTACAAAAGCACATAGAAGTTTAATACACATAAGGTAAAAATGCAAACAAAACTATTGGAACAATTATGTTACAAACATCAGGAAGAGAAATCATCCTTTTACACCAGCTATATCCTTACAGGCACTGAGACCTGGTGAAGAATTACTCCTTTCTCCAAACTAAAGCTTCTTGCTCAATTGGTAATGCTGTAATTGGTTGACTTTTGGCAAATTTCTTTGTAATGACATCATGTTATTTTCTTCAATTAACTTCTGTCCCCTTGACCCTTAAAATGCTAACTCGGCACAGTTATTGCTTAACATGGATTCCCTAAACCTGTATCTTCAACAACTTTTGGAGAATGTCTTCTTCTTTGACAATTCCACACTATTATTCTACTGAAACTTGCTTCTTACTGACATCTAGGCAACTCAGAAATTCTCTCCAGATCTGACTGTTCGGTGGCTGCCAACAACAGAACTTTTCCTTCAACTCTTCACTGTGGTTCAGTGGCTCAGTCATTAGCACTGCTGCCTCACAGTGGCAGGGACCCAGGTTTGATTCCAGACTAGGCCAACTGTCTGGATGGGATGCACTTCAGAGGGTTGGTGTGGACTTGATGGGCCAAATGACCTGCTTCCACACTGTATGGATTCTATATCACCCTGCTTTATGATCAGTCTCTCACAATTATAAAACTCAGTTTAGCACTGCTGACATAGTTCTATAAGAACAGGAGGAGGTTATTCAGCCCTCTAAGCTTCCTCTCCTTTGACAATCCTTAAATCCTGACTCTATTCAAAATTTTCAGAAACTTTCATTTATCCTCCCTTTTGCTTTGTTCTTCCTTGTACTTCCTCTGAATCACCACAAACTGTTTTTCTGTATTGAAGGGGTTCTGTCAATTCAGATTGTTCTTGATAGGGCCAGAGTAGACCATGATTTTCATCACATCACAACCATGCTGTCAAGGAGAGGTGGTGAACCAAAGCCACTACATCTTCACTGTGACCTCCTAATATTGACATGGGTCCATTTTATCCATCTTGTAGTGTGCAAGTTTGTACAAGGTGCCAATGTATTCTATTTTGGAAGGAAATAAAAGACAGTCTGGGAGATCCAGGAGTGATTGTAGATACAACACACCATGGACAGTCATGTAGAATAGCAAACAACAAAGCAAGCAGAGTCCTGTGCTATATTACATGAACAGTGAGTGTAAATCCCAGATTTATCTCATGAAGCGATAAATTAATTGGGCCTGTATCCAAATAGCTTAGAGCACTTGGTTCTGTCCATCAAAGCACGAGAACTTGAATCCAAGTTCTCAAACCAATGTAAAGAAAGGAACTTGAGGCTGATCCCAAAAATTAGGAGATTCTTGCAAGGAAAATTCTGAAAAAAAGTTATTTTCATGGCTTCAAATTAGATTATTAGGCAGCTTCTTTTAGTGGGTGTCCAAAACATTGTGGAATAAAATGTCTAATCTAGAATGCATGTTAGATGATAAGAAATAGATCAAATTAGGAAAAAAATAGTTTCTGGCCTGAAGTCAAGAAGCACTTGCACATAAATGATGGTTAAAAAGTCTTATCATATGGATGTTCCACTGCTGGCACATGAATGACTGTTGAAGCATAAGCTAGATAAGCCAAATATTGCATTCTTATGTATTTAGCTTTAAAATGATATGATTGTCTAATTGTTTAGACAATTAGAGAAGTTACATTTTCTTAAAAGAATACAACAATGGCCACAATGTGTAAAATGTAAGTGCACTGTGGCTTGGAGGGAAAGTTGCAGGTGGCAAGTTCCCATTTATCTGCTGCCCTTGTACTTTTAGATGGGTCATGGGTTCAGAAGGTCTGTCTAAAGAACCTTGGTGAATTTCTGAATCATGTAGATGGTACAAACTGCTGTTATTGAATATTGTTGGTGGAGGTACTGGATGTTTGTGGATGTGGTGCCAGTCAAATGGGGTTGCTTGGTCCTGAATGATGTCAACTTCTTGAATATTGTTGGAGCTTTTATTCCATCCTTCTCTGACTTGTACTTTGTAGATGGTGGGCAGGCTTTGAGGAGTCAGGTGATGAGTTAATCACTGCAAGGTTCCTAGCCTCTAACCTGTTCTTATAACCACTACTTATATGGCTAGTCCAGTTCAGTGGTCAATGATAATTCCCAGGATTTTGTTAGTATAGGATTCAATGACTAATGCCATTGAATGTTAAGTTGGGATAGTTAGATTTTCACATGCTGAAGATAGTCATTGCTTGGCACTTGTGTGATACTGCTGTCACTTGCCAGTCATCAGCTCAAACCTGGATATTGTCTGTCTTGCTACATTTGGACATGTACTATTTCAATATCTGAGGAGCCATGAATGGTGCTGACCATAGTGCAAACCATCAACGAACATCCCAACTTCTGACCCTATGGTAGAGGTGAGGTCATTGATGAAGCAGCTGAACATGGATCTCCCTAGGATATTACCCCAAAGAACTCCTGCAGAGTCCTGGGATTGAGGTGGCTGACCTCCAGCAACCAAAACCACCTTCATGACTCAAAACCATGACTCTAACCAGCAGAGCACTTTGCGCTTGATTCCCATTGACTCTAATTTTGCTATGACTCCTTGATGTCACACTTGGTCAAATGTGGCATTAATGGCTGTCACTTTCTGTTCATCTCTGGAGTTCTCTGTTTTGTTCATGTTTGAACTATGTCCGTAATGAGGCAGCACCTACGTGACCCTAGCAGAAGACAGAACCCAAACTTAGCATCGGTGAGCAAGTTGTTGCCAAGCAATGCTACCTGATAGCACTGTTGATTACTTCTCCCATCACTTTACTGATGATTGACAGTATACTGATGGGACATTAATAGCCTGGGCTAAATTTGTGCTGCTTCTTGTGTAGAAGTAAGTGACAGGGCTATTTGTTGTAGTTCTCCTGAGAAATATGTAGCACATGTCTACATATTCAATTAAATGTTCCATTGATCATATGGTTCGGCTTCACAGAACATAGTTGAGAAATCATGCCCCATATATTACACTTTGTTTCAGCCATTCTTCTCCAAAGTGACCCCAATTAAAATCTTCTGTCTGAAAGAAATCAGTTTCCATTGTCCACTTTTAGACAATTATTTTAATAATTGAAGTCAACTGGTAGGCTCAGTCATACAGCTCTCATTACAACCCTAGTGTCATAGCTATTACCTTTTTTTTATTTTTCACCAATTAAAAGAACAATGAAAAACACTACCCATCAGCTGTTTATATGTTCGCAATGGTAAGTAATATTCATAACTATTTTGCTTAACCTTCAAAATGACATTAATAGTATGCTTGATCAGACACTTTTTGTGAAGAACAGTAAACTTAATTTTGATGGTATTGATTCTGGGAGGACTATTGATAAGGACAACCTTCTGTTCTTATTCAAATGGTGTTGAGAAATCCTTTACATGTCTTGAGCAGGTATTTAATGCCTCACCAAATTTAATGTTTCATCTGAAGGACAGCAGCTCCAGAATTGCAGTACTCCTTCAGTCTTACACTACAGTGAATTTTAGATTATATGGTCCTGCCTCTGCAGTAGGTTTTAAATCGACATACTATTCACTCAGGTTTCAGAATATTACAACTGAATCAAATTGACATATAAAAATCAATTCCTCTCCTAATGTCATTATATTGTCATTTGATCTCAGTACAATAATGGATGAAGTAATTCATGACATGAAGCATGAGATCAAACATTAGACAAGGAGGAAAGTTAATCTGGGAGAGATTGTGTTCCATCCATAGAATCCATATGAAAAGCTGCCACAGAAAATCAATAAGCAGTTGGTTCTCCTGAATGATAAGTCTCTCTTTGTCTGACAGAATTGTGAAAGTGTGTGAAGGAACTAAGAGCTGTGAAGATCTACCCAGTGAAGAGTAAGTCCTTAAATTCCAACGTAGCTGAGCGGAAATGCATGGCAAAGTCTCATGTTGAGGTGGCATACATTATACACATCAATTAGTTCAGATGAATTAGAAAGTAAAGCATTTAAGGAATGATACAGAGAGAGACATAGATTGTAATCATGTACATATTCTAAATATGTCCATATACAGATACTTAACATGCCTGTCTATAGACTCTGAACAATCTGCCTACAGATATTGAACTGTCCATCTATAAATTCTGAATGTGTCCGCGTGTAGATTTGACATGTGTGCATTTGAAGATATGGAAGCAATAGCATTGAGAAAGGTTACCTTATCATCATCATAATATTTTGCTTTGTGTAAATTATTTGCCAAGTTTACTGCATTAAAAGGCAATTGAATTTCAAAAGTACTTAAGTGGAATTCATTAAAAATCTGGAATAAAAAGTTTAGTCTAATGGCAATATGTAACCATTGTCAATTCTTGTAAAATCCCATCTAGTTAACTCGTGTTGCTGGTTAACTCTAGTTAACTGGTGTGGCTTATGCTTGACTCCAGACCCATAATAATGTGGTTGACTCTTTTCCTCCCTCTGGGCAATTAGAGAATGACAATAAATGCAGACCCATACAGCTATGCCCACACTCCATGAACAAAAAATAGAAAAATGTCTCTAAAGAGCATTTGGACATTCTGAGGTCATGAAAGGTGTAATATAATGTATTTTTTCATCAATTTCTTTCCCACTGGGTGGGTGTTCTAAAACATAATGAACTTCTGTTACAAAAAGCCAGAAGAACCAAGGCTATCAAACAAGCTACAGTTTCACAAAAACTTATAACTTAATTAATGTAGAATGCTGCATCAATTGAAAATTCTACGTTGTAGCATATATGTGAAATCAGATTTTTGTCTTCACTTTCTGGACATTAGTCACACGGAGCAAATTTTGATCTTATCAAAGTTAATCCAACCCTCTGTATTACCACTAAGGCATGTGTGTCTGTATATATATATGTGTATTTACATGCATAGTGATATTCTTAAATGTCCATTTGTCAACTGACTTTGGGTCTTTTGATTATGTATGTACTTGTGTAGGCTTATAGAAACATTGAAGCCTACGTGCTGCTGTTTATTTCTGTTTGGTTTACTGTCAGGGCAGAGGCGGTTTGCAAAAGAACCAACAGCAGTGAGGATCAATCAACAGCAGAGTGAGTTCTTTACCTTTCTTCCAAAGAGGGAATGACAAATGGAGAAAAAGAGAGAGTGTGAAAGAGTCAGTGATAACAAATGTGAAGTGATGGCCACTGACCAATATTAAATTATTCTCCTGATTAGTGCAACCACTCACTATCATCATACCAATTAGGTAAGCTTTGTGCTGACCCCAGAAAGTCCACCAGGATCAGCACCGAAGTTCCAAAAGTAGATCCTGATAACTAACGTCTGAATACAAACACACAGCTGCCAGCATGGATTTTCTAACCAACATTGTTAACAGTTCTTCTCTTTGTTTTCTGTGTCAGATTGATGCAGATTTGTGAAGAAGCAAAGACTGATGATGGTCTATCAACAGCACTGTGAGTTTTTTACCTTCCTTCTTTTAAAAGGGCTGAGGGAAGGAAGACAGTATAAGGCAGCATAAAGAGTGAATGTTGGGAAATGAGGAAGGAAAAGTATGGAGTGGGGAAAGAAGGGAAACGCGCATATCCCCCGAGAGTTGAAAAGGGTGGGAAAGACAGCAAGAATTGAGGGAGGAACAAAAGAGAGAGGATTGAAGAGAATAAGTACAGCAATGAGTTATGAATGATTCTTTGAGTGCACATGAGACAATCTAACGGTGACAGAGCAAATTACACTGAACAGCTTTTGTGGTACATTTTTTAACTCTTCAGTCCTTCCAAGGGCCTGACTCATCGTGAATGTGAATTGTAGACCTGCGGGCAACATACCTACAATTTTGAAGTTTGGTCAACATTGCTAAAATGAGTTCAATCTACCATTTTAAATACAAGCACATGTGCCATTTTTAGCCAAAATCTGTTCTTATGTAATGTATGTGTTACTGATTGTTTAGTATGTGCACATATTCAAAATGTTTACGTGCATGTGAATAACTACATGCAAGCATGCATGCAGATATACATACAAGGTGTGGGGGAGGGACATAACTTCTTCTATTTGTAAAGTAGAAGGAAAAGCTAACAAATTGGCATTGATTCTGAATTGTTTCAGTGAAGTATTTTTCCTTAGGTTTACAGAAATAAATGTGCCGTAGTATGTGTAACCATATTTTTGTGTAAAGTAATAGAAAAAGGAGGTGTGCTGCTGTTCATTTCTATTTGTTTTGACTGTCAGGCCAGGGGTGGTATGTGAAGAAATCGAGAACAGTGAATGTCTACCATCTGCAGAGTGAGTTTTTCAACTCTGTCTCGGGAGAGGGGATGAGAATGTGATGAATTGGGACAGATAATTTTTGAAGAGAGTGCACCTAAAAAAGACCAAATATTTAAAAGAGAGGAAAAGTTGTAGTCAAACTCAGGAATGGAGAAGATAGCAAAATTCAAGGAGGAGAGTGCTCTGGTGTAAAGTGGGGGCATACTGGGGAGATAACCAAGGTGCGTCAAAATTGGAAGACGAAGGCCTCGATTTTTGCTACCAGATCAGGAAACAGCCCATTTCCAGGTCCCATAAACCTGAAGCTCCAGAAGATCAGATTCTTGCTCAGAGATGGTGGGTTCCTTGGGAGGCAAACTGAGTGACCCCAAAATGGCAGTGGATGCTGCTGGCTGGAAGGTCTGCCTATATATCTATATACATCGACGGTATATTGCAGTTTAATAAAACAGGACCCCAAAAACATGCATACAGCCCTCACTCCTCATAGGCCCCACCCTCCACACATCCCCCATGGCCTATTCATGTCAAGTTATGGCACTTCATAACCTATGCCTCTGTACCATTTCCCATTGCCTTTTAACCTCCATGCCACCCTAAGCACAAGTTCCCACTATCTTGGCCTGTCATATCGCCAATGCCACTCTATGCCACAGTACCCTCTATTTTGCCTATTAAAGGTCAATGGCACCCTGTACACTACTCACTATGCCAACTTAGTGCCTACTCATATCAATCATTTCTAGTCATTGTACTCTTTGCTCCTCCCTCTTCATAGCCAATTCACCTAATATCCACCACAGACAAATCTCACGAACTATGCTGACAAAAGATATGTTATATATGTCAATTGAGAATATCACTGTATAAAAAATTCCCATTGATTTAAAAAAATCAATACGTTGAACTTCCTCCAAATGATGTCTGACAAAAACAGAAAATTGGCTAAAGTGGTTAGTGTCTCATGAAAACGAACACTTCTATTCAAAAATCACTTGGAGCTATTCACCAATGTGCTCTGATGATAAACACTGCCTTGTGAAAATGATAAGTTCGGCATCGAGCACTAATTCTAATACAGATGTCAAAAGGCACGCTGAAATATAAAGCACTTCTTTTTGACTGCTTTGATAGTTTTCTGTAGCTTGGACAGTTCTCTGACAGCTTTTACAGTTCTTTGACAATTTGACACTCTTAATAAGTTTGTCCACATTTTACACACCAACATGTCTACTTTTCACAATCTCATAAGGTCCCAAAAGGTACCTTACCTCCACCAAGGGTGGCCCAGGACAAGTTCCAAATGGCTAACATAACTCTTCAAAAGTTTATCCTGGCTATCCAAATGAATTCACAAGATTCAGATCTGCTTTTACCTGGTCTAATCTTCAGACACTTATTTCACCAAAAACATATGAGAAAGGATGCAGCTGATGATTTAAATGGCTAACTGCCTTCACAAACCATAAATCCAGAGCCAAATCTATTTACACCACCCTAAAAATAGTGAATACAGGACTTATAATTTCTGAGTTCTTTCACTATTTTTGCCATGTTATAAAGATTGTCCAATGTGGGAAAAAATTGTGCCCAAGTCAATGCTGTAATTTCAATATGTTTGAGTGAGTGTAGGTAAATGTGGTTTGGTGAATTAAAGTTTACATATGTGTTAATCTAGTTCTGAAGTTGTGTCAACATATCAAATTCAGAACCAAATGAGATAGATGAGAACAATGAGATAGATTTGCCCATAATTAGGACTCTTAAGTTCCTTTCAGATCAATCTAGCATCCATGCCTACCGATCCTGCCATCCCTTCATTTGTAGGCATTTTTACGAGTGGATACATGATAATAGATTTGGCCCTTCTTTAGTACAAGAGATCGTAGATAAATTGACTCTTGTCTTTACTCATTTGTTTTCTTTTACTTATTGTACTTTATTTAATTTTGTATACTTAAGCTTTCTTTGAGTTGGTTGATCACAATGAAAACAGCAATGAAGAACCTACAATTGCATATCACTTAAAATTTAGGAAAATAAATTGTTTCCACCCCTGATTACTATCAGTTGTCTCCTCACTATAAGTGTGTGGACTGGATACCATGCACAGACAGGATTGCAAAAGGTTTTAACCAAATCCTCAAGAATACAGTCTGCTGCCTGTTATCATCAGGACTCCTATATAAACCATAGACACTTGAGTAACGTCACTAACATCTAATGGAACTGTACCTCAGTGAAGGTGCTCATTCTGCAGGGAATGAGGAGATAAAACTGGAAAGAGAAATTGACTTTTAAAAAGGTAGTAGGTTGTTCTCCTGCATATTTACTTCTGTGTATTTACGTGTTTATTGATCATTTTCCTTGTTTGCCAGATCATTGCAGGTGTATGAAGCAGCCAAGAGCAGTGAGGGTCTGTCACGAGCAGAGTGAGTCCTTTATCATTCTTCCATTGGTGGGGATACTGGAGTAAAGGAATGGGCTAGTATGAGAGAGAGGGATATCAAAGGAATGATTGACCAGCACAACAAATGCATGAATGAGGATAGCAAAAGAGGGGATAGACAGAATAGAATGTTGACACAGTAATGGGCAAATTAAGTGTTTAAGAGTGAATGCACTCAAGTCAAAGGGAGTGACCAAGTATAGCATCCAAGGAATTCATTGAACTATTTGCTACATTTATTAATGACTTAGTTAACACAACAGAGAGGGACTGACACAAAGCACAGAATCTTACCAGTTGTACTAGCTTTGGGGATGAGGACTCTTTGAAAGATGCGTGCTGGGTCTTCTACTCGATGTGCTGCCACATCCAAGCAGCTTTTCCATGGGCAGAGTTAAACTAGCATCAGCAATTCACCCACTGACTAATTAATCAGTAGCAATTAAATTTGAAATAAGAAGTGGAGACAAGCTGAGATTAAACTTTTTTTGGATAGTGCATGGGCCCCACAATGTATCAATATCTTAGCGGCTTGGCTATGGTGGCTGCATAGCAAGAAGGCATTGTTCACAGAAATAGACATCCAGGCTTCTGTGTAAAGGAGAGGCAGCAACTGCAGAGCTTGCAGTAAGGCTCGGTTGATCTGGTAAGGCAGATTGTGTGGCATGATAATATTAAGAGTGAATTGGCAGCACAATCTGCTAGGTAAATGTGTTCTATGCCACAAACATAAGCCAAGATAATTGTTATTGTGTAAACATGAGCTTTTGTTTTTATCCACTCATGGGTGATGGGCATTAGTAGCTGGCTAGAAGCCCATTCCTATTTGTTCTTCAGAAGGTGACGGTGAGCTGCTTTTTTAAATCACTGAAGTCCATTTGGTGTAGGCACAGCCACAATGCCATTAGAGAGGGAGTTCCAGGATTTTGACCCAGGAACACTGAATACAAATTTCCAACTGGATGGTCAGTGACTTGGAGGGGAAATTGCAGGTGGTGGTTTCAGTGTATTGGTTGCCTTTGACCTTCTATATGGCAGTAGTCATGAGTTTGGAAAGTGCTGTCTAAGGAGCCTTGTTGAATTTCTATCGTGCATCTTGTAGATGGTGCATCCTGCTGCCTCTGAGCATTGGTGGTGGAGGGACTGACTGACTGAGTATCTAGTGCTAAGCAAGCAGGCTGCTTTGTCCTGATGGTGTCAAGCTCTTTGATTGTTGTTGGTGCTGCACTCATGCAGGCAAGTGGGGATTATTTTATCACTCTCCTGACTTGTGCCTTGTAGATGATGGACAGGCTTTGGGAGTCAGGAAATGAGTTACTCGCTGCAAGATTCCTAGTCTTTGATCTACTCTTGTAACCACAGTGCTTATTTGATTAGTCAGTTCAGTTTCTTGTCAATGGTAATCTCCAGGATGTTAATAATGAGAGATTCAGCAATACCATTGAATGTCAAGTGGTGATGATTAGATTCTCATTTGTTGAAAATTGTCATTGCCTGGCAAATGTTATTTGTGACTCGTCAGCCCAAACCTGGATATTTTCTATATCTTATTGTATTTGGGCATGGACTGCTTCAGTATTTGAAGAGTCACAGCTAGTCCTGATCATTGTGCAGTCATCAGCAAACATCCCCACCTCTGACCTTATGATGAAGGGAAGATCATGGATAAGCAGCTAAAGATGGTTGGGCCAAGGACAAGGCGTTTTCCCCTTGATTCCCATTTACTTCAGTTTTGCTAGAGTTCCTTGATACCACATTCAGTCAAATGCAGCCTTGATATCAAAAGCAATCACTCTCACTTCACTTCTGAAATTCAACTCTTTTGTCCATGTTTGGAGCAAGGCTGTAGTAAGGTCAGGAGCTAAGTGACCCTGGGAGAACCCAAGCTGAGCATCAAGTGAGCAGATTATTGCTAGGCAAGTGCTGTCTGATAACATTGTTGATGACACCTTTGATCACTATTATAACTGTTTTAAAAATTCCTGGTGCCACAAACCTGCAGTTAGGTTTAAGCATCTTTATAATCATGACTACAGGCTTGAGACAGCACACAACAAAGTGGAAACTCAGCAATCACACGAAATCAAACACTGCACAACTGAACACAATATAGAGCACTGCCCTAAAAGGCACAAGAGGATTTAAGATCTATGTTATCACTTGTTGCTAGAACAAGGAAGAGGAACAGCATGGCCATCAGCATGTCTAGCCACATGCATTGGAGCACAGCAGACAGGTCAGCCAAGGAGCACCCTTACTGGAGAGGTATTTGGCCAATGTTGACTTTTCTTGATCTCTTGAAGCAGCAGTACCACAGAGGGCCTTTACATATACCTCTGCATGAGGGTATATTCCAACAAGTAAATAGACACCCAGTACTGGTGGCAGTGAAGGTCACAGTTACCTTAAATTTCTAAGATTCAGCATCTGACAGGCTACAGCTGAGAATATTTGTAGATTATCATTTGGCTTCAGCTATCAGTATAGCACAGGTGACAGATTGCCTGCGCATAGAGCTGTCTGATTAGATTGAATTCTCGAGGGATCAGGCAAAGCAGACCCAGAAGCCTGTAGGTTTTGGCTTCAATCACTGAGAAATGGTCCCAAAGCTTCACTACAATGAGATTCCACCCAAAGACGATAGTATATTATGTACAGGAACATGTAGTTACAAAGACACTGGTTGATTAAATGAGTAGGCTAATCAAGGCAGCTGGGTTTAAACATAGGTAAGTGTAATGTCGTCCATTTTGAATTGAGAAAGGATAAATGAGTAATTTTAAATCATGAAAAATTAAGAACAGTCAAAGTCCAAAGAGATCTAGGTGTTCATGTGCACACATCATTGAAACATGTGTGGTTAAAAAACTTCACAGAGTGCTAACTTTGATAACTAGAGGATTATACATTTTGAAATGTATACTTTTTATGCAGTACAGATCTGGGTACTGTGCCTTAGAAATTAGCCTTGAAAGGAGTACAGTGCAGATTCACTGGAATATTACCAGAGCTGCCGAAGTTAGACTATGAGGAGAAAATATACATATTACACTTGTATTTCTTGGAATTGAAATTAAATGATGATGTGAGTGAAGTTTTTAAGATTCTGGATACTATTGATAGGGTAGGTAGAAAGTAACAATTTTCCACTGGTGGAGAGTCTAAGACAAGGAGATATTATCTTAAATTAAATCCGCTTCATTCCAGAGGGGAATTGGGAAACACTTCTTCATGAGAGCAGTAGTGGAAGTATGCAATTTTCTCCCCAACAAGGCAGTAAGAGATAAAGTCGTCACGGTTTTACAAGACTCATTAGAAAGAGATAACTGGTGGTGGTTTAACCTGAGGGTCACCGTGCCTCAGGTAAAGGGAGAGGTTGAGCAGGAGAATCCTTCTTGATAACCTCAGCCAGTAAAGCAGTTGAATCCATGTTGTTGACACCACTTCACATTGCAAACCCGCTGTTCAGCCAACTGAGCTAACCAAACCCCCCAAAAAAGGGATTCTGAAGAAGGGTCACTGGACCTGACACATTAACTCTGATTTCTCTCCACAGATGCTGCCAGACCTGCTGAGTTTTTCCAGCAATTCCTGTTTTTGCTCTTGTTCCCAATAAAAAGGCAGTAGAAGTTAGCTCAATTAACAATTATAAATCTGAAATGAATAGCTTTATGCTGGACAAGGACATACTAGGATATAGAGCCAGGCTATGTGAATGGAGTTAAGATTCAAATCAGCTATAATTTTACTGCATTATAGAACAGGCCTGAGGGATAAATGAACTACTTCTATTCTTTGAAGAACAGATCAAATCAGAAGAGAGAACAAGTAAATGCCAAAACAAATGAAAGAAAGTGGAAAGTGTGAAAATGAGAAATTGGCACTATAAAGTGAAAAAGTATTTGAGATCAGATAAGAAAGAGATCATTTACTAAAACCAAGGAAAGTACATGTTAGTGATAACTGAGATTTCCAAATTCTGGTTCATTCTTTAAATCTGGTATTTGAATCCTCTGCTGTCCAATTTTAATTCCATTGTAAATAAAGTGAATTTATTGTGAGTGGTTGATCACAGCACTATTTTTGCTTTTTACACTGCTGTTTGCTTCTATATATTGAGAGCATTTTTGTCAACATCTATCAAAACTATGTAGATCTCATAATATTTATGATGGTTTGCTATGTTAGACTGGACACCTAAGACATATTTTTTATCTGTCAGACCAATGCTGATATGTGAAGAAGACCAGAGCAATAAGGAACCATCTCCAGCAGCGTGAGTCTTCCACTTCTTGGCTGAAAGAGAAAGTGCAGAGGAACATGGCAGAGTTTGAGAGAGTGAATGAATGAGAAACAGAGTGAGGATCTTGAAAGAGTGATTTTGTGCATGTGTGTTGAAGTAGGAGAGGAAGGGAAAATAGTTTTTGTGTATGATGAGATAGAATAGCAAAGATAGAGTAAGTGAGATGAAAAGGAAATCCTAATGGTAGTGAAAATGTAGGTCATACAGTCAAAGAGATATACAGTATGGAAACAGAACCTTTGGTCCAACTCATACATGCCAAACAGATATCCTAATAAATACAGTCCCATTTGCCAGCATTTGGCCTATATCCCTCTATACCCTTCCTATTCATATAACCATCCATATGCCTTTTAAATATTCTAATCATACCACCCTCCACCACTTCCTCTGGCAGCTCATTCCATACACGCACCACCCTCTGTGTGAAAACGTTGCCCCTAGGTCCCTTTTAAATCTTTCCCCTCTAAACTTATGCCCTCTAGTTTTGGGCTGCTGCATCCAGGGAAAAGACCTTGACTATTCACCCTATCTATGCCCCTCAAGATTTTATTAACCTCTATAAGGTCACCCCTCAGCCTCCGACACTCCAGGGAAAATAGTCCCAGCCTATTCAGCCTCTCCCTGTAGCTGAAACCCTCCAACCCTGGCAACATCCTTGTAAATCTTTTCTGAATCCT